GCCTTTATATTTCCTCAGCTGTAAAGTATAAATATGTTTAATTCAGAAATGGACCCAAACAAACTTGACTGTAACAGATCAACTTTTCATTCTGACAAACCATTTGGTTCAATTTTCATCATGAATTGCCACTCTTAATGATTTTCAACTTACCATCAGTTGCTCTCATAATGACTTTTTGATGGTTTTCATCAAGATGATCAACATGGTAACTTATATGTACCATTTTGATGGCCTGGTTTTCTTGATAACTTATAATTTTTTTCTAAATTTTTAATTCTAACTTATCACTTTGATGGTTTTCTTGGTTCAATACTTGTTTTGATGGGTTTTGTGGTATTAAACTTACCATTTTAATGGTTTTCATGATGTCTGGGTTTTTCTTCAGCATGACCTGATTAACAGGCAGAGCATCTAAATCCTCCATAATAGCTAGACACTTGTCCACATCCTTCAAAAACAGCAATGAAAATATCAACACTTATATCAATTCTTTAGTGTTTTTAAGGAATCACTGTCTAGTTTTGAGGGTATGCCAGGGCATCAACAATAGTGGGAAACATGGGATAATTTGCATAACGGGCGAAGCCCGTTATGCTAAAATTATCCCATGTTTCCCACTATTGTTGATGTCCCTGGCATACCCTCAAAACTAGACAGTGATTCCTTATATTTCCATTTTTACTTGAAATAACCATCTTAAAATAAATCGAAATACCGTCTAATTGAGTAGATTTGAAATGCACAAGGCCCCATGACGTCAAATTTTACTATAAAAAATAGTGCCAAAAACACGAAACAAATTTATTGACTATTAATATTTACCGTAGTCAAATATCAACATTTATAAAATAAACAACAAAAGAATTTTAAATGATGATCAAAGAAATCTTGTTGACTTTAATTATATATGTGACCTAGATTTAGGTTGTCGGAAGCACGAACATATATCAGCACTATGTCACTTCTCCGCCGCCATATTGAATGCAATTTTGCATGCAGTTGATGAAACGGGAGCTGGTCAGTATGGTCAGGAAACTGATTTGTATGGATGTTATAATAACAGAAGAAGTTGAGTTGCTTAAAGTCGGATGGTAATGACTAAGGGACGATGTCTGCATCAGATGATGGAGTACGTGCAGATCCATGTGGCAATGTCAATTTCTCCACGTGGCTGTTACGGAAGTGGAGTTCTCGGACTCGCAAGGCCTCGGTGATAGTGGACAGCGTTGCGCTAGTGACTTGCTTTCGAGCCGAAGATAATTCATTATTTATTTTGTTTGTTAAAAAGATATATCATATCAAATTAATTAGTAAACAATTAAACAAAACATCTATTTTTTCTTGAGTATATTTATACGCCAGTGATATACATGCAGGTTGACACCTGACCTTTCAGTAATAGAGAAATATACATACCACAGGGTATTATCATGAAATTAACAAGATACACTTTTGTAGTGTTTATCATAGAGAAAACAATTGGAAATGGAAATATTAACTGGTCAGGGCCTTTCTACATCAGCAGGATAAAATGCTAATTAGAAATGCATTGAAAAATTAATCAGCTTTTAAAAAACAATCTTGCCATCTTCACTGAACAGTCCGAAAAACTGTTTATGTTCTGTCTGCTTCCATCTGACCTGATTTTTTTTAATATACCGGTATATATTGTAGTGAAATTCCTTTGATCAAGTTAATAATTACATAATCAGGGTTTAAATTAGTTTTGTCAATCAAAAGTTATCTCCTATGTCCAGGCATTGTTTCAAACGTTTAGAAGATCAGGATCTGACTCAGCAGATCTTGGGGAAGTATATAAGCGGGCTCATTCAAGTCCCGGTGGTCAGCTATTGAGAGGCCGTAGAAGAGGAAGGACGCATTACGGACAAGGTAAGGTATTTGTGTTAGCTCATTTGCGGTGTCTCAAAGTTCTGCAGACGGACCATTTGAGCTACATAAATCCTTACGGGTTAATTTAATAGTAAAACTATATTATAAACGGGTGTTTGAAACCCGGTGTTCGAAACTATAGGTCTGGGAGCTAGTGCTCAAACATAGTGTCAGACCAGGGGCTTAGAACGTAGACTAGGAGATAACAATAAGGAAAATTATAATTATATAGAAGATCAGTTTAAATCACTGTGTTGTTGATTAATATTGATTTTGTTTGTTCTTATATTTAACCCAATCAGCTAAATACGTCAAGTAACGTAAAGGAAAATTCTTTATCTATACTTCATCCGTGGTCGAACCCACAAAACACATTACAAACTTTTGGTGGCAGCGGTGGGATAAATTGATCTAAAACCCACTTGTGATTTTTTTTATATTAATTAAAGAACGATTATTTGTTTAACAACTTTGTCTGAGAAACATTAGGTTTAGGTCTTAAACCATGGATGACGTTGATAAAGAAATTAGTTATCTTGAAGAGAAGATTAAAGAGTTCTCAAATGAGAGTATGCGTTTGAGAGAAAAAGAGAGACAGAAAGCCTCAACACCAATAACAAATAGAGATTCTGGCATTGGTGCCTCGGAACAAGTGAGTTCTGAACCAAGACAAGACTTTGGAGGAGCTAAACCTAAAGTAAAGCTTGAGGCTGAGGCAGAAACTGATTTTGACTACATCAGTGACAGAACACGTAGACCAGCTTCAGACCATGCGCTATATTTTGAAACACCTAGAAATGTTCCAAGCAATGTTACAACACGCAGGTTTAGAGACAATAGATTTGAAGCACATGATGTTCGGGACCGCTTAGGAAAAGATGAAAAACCCAGTAAGCTGAAACCTGCAACTTATGATGGAACGACGTCGTGGTTGGACTATAAGTCGCATTTCAATACATGTGCTTGCTTGAACCATTGGTCTGAAGAAGAGAAAGGGATGTATCTGGCCGTGTCCTTAAGAGGTCTAGCCCAAGGTGTGCTTGGAAACCTCCCAGAATATCTGCAAATGGATTTTAAAGAGTTGTCCAAGTCCTTGGAAGAACGTTTTTCCCCAGCTAATCAGACGGAACTGTATAGGGCGCAACTTAGGGAGAGACGACAAAAAGCGTCAGAAACAATACCGCAGCTAGGCCAAGATATTAGACGACTCACACGCCTGGCATATCCAACAGCTCCAGGGGATGTGTGTGAAACATTGGCGAAGGAATATTTTATCGATGCTCTTGTAAGTTTCGATATGCGTTTGAGAATTAAACAGTCAAGACCCCAGAATCTGAATGATGCCATTCGACACGCGGTTGAGCTCAATGCATTTGTTGGGGCAGAACGCAGAAGAAATGAAGATAGTGGTTTTGTTCGAGAAGCAGGAGCAGACAATACTGACCATGAGACTAAAAGTGGTAGTCTAGAGGATTCTATTAAGTCTATCAAGGAAATGCTGCTGAGTCTACAAACAGATGTGAATAAGATGAAAACTGAGCAACAGAAGTCTCGTACTTACCAAAATACTTACAACACGTCTCGGAAGTTTGATGAGAAAAAGCAGACAGCAGGTACTTTCAAAAAGTGTTTCAAGTGCGGTAAGCCTGGACACTTCAAGAAGGATTGTAGATCCAAGAGTCCAAATAACAGTAAGACTTATGATGAGCCAAGACCATTTGACTCCTATGGCAAAAGAAAGTCTTTCAAAAATACAGAGACCGGTAAAGAGAAGTCTGGACAATTTAAAATGGCTACTCAAAATAAAGGAAAGTCAGAAGAGAAACTTAAGGGTTCCATTGGAATCCACAAAAAGTCTAATGAACCAGGCATGTATATTCGTGGAACCATCAATGATGTGTCTGCCATGATATTAGTTGACACTGGTGCCACAGTTACACTTATTTCACGTAAGGTGTTCGATGCAATCCGCTTGAAGCATGACGTGGAACTGAATGAGACGAGTCAGAAGATTTTATCAGCTTCAGGCACTCCTCTTAATGTTTATGGAAAAACAGTTGTGAGGCTTAAATTCGGCAAGAAAATTATATTTCAAACAGTAATAGTTGCCGACATGACTATTGATGCTGTTTTAGGCTTAGACTGCTTGAAAGCTAATAGAGGCGTCATAGATTTATGCAATAAAAGTCTGAAACTAGGGGACGAGTCCCATTCCTTAGAGTTTGAAGGAAAAATTGGATGCTTTAGGATAGTCGCCTCAGGAACAATGACATTGCCATCAAAAACTGAAGTGGTGACAATAGGAAAAGTAATTGTGCCAGACAATGAGGAGTTTAATTTAGACGTTGGGGTAGTTGAACCATCAACAACTTTTCTTAATTCTGACAGAGGACTGGTCGGACGAACTTTGGTGAAAGGAGGTTCAAACGTCCCAGTAAGGCTGTTTAATCCTTCGGAAAGTAATGTTACAATACATTCGGGAACGACAGTTGGAGAGCTTTCGCCAATAGAGGACGTAATTGAGGGCGAATTAGGAGAATCAGAATCCTCTGATAATTTGTCTGAACATCTAAAATCATTATTCACGAAGACAAGCTCAAACCTGAGTAAGAAACAAGCAAAGGTTGTAAAGTCATTATTAATAAAGTATTCCCATTTATTTACCAAGTCTGACAAAGATGTAGGAAGGACAGGTCTGACAAAACATACTATTAATACAGGTGACAATAGACCTATCAAAGAAGTGCCAAGAAGACTGCCTGAGCACATGAATGCTGAAGTAGACAAACACGTACAAGATATGTTGGAAAATAATATCATAGAGCCTTCCAATAGTCCTTGGGCCTCTAGGGTTGTTTTAGTCAAGAAAAAGGATGGTTCCACTAGGTTCTGCGTGGACTATCGACGACTAAACGCTATCACAGAAAAAGATGCTTATCCAATACCACGCATCGATGAAACCCTAGACCAACTTTCAGGGTGCAAATGGTTTTCAACTCTCGACCTACACTCTGGGTATTGGCAGATTGAAATGGACCCAAAGGATAAGCCCAAAACAGCGTTCGTAACTCGTAATGGCCTATATCATTTTAACGTAATGCCATTCGGGTTATGTAACGCTCCTGCCACGTTTGAGAGGCTGATGGAGACCACACTAAGAGGCTTGCAGTGGGACATATGTCTAATTTACCTTGACGATATAATAGTATATGCTAAGACTTTTGAAGAAATGAACAGGAATTTGTCAAGGGTGTTCGAGAAACTCGCCGCTGCAGGTCTAAAGCTCAAGGCTAAGAAATGCACATTGTTTGCGCGAAAGGTTGAATACCTCGGACATGTAGTGTCTGAGCAAGGAATATCAACTGACCTGAAAAAGACAGAAGTCATTCGGAAATGGCCTTGTCCGAACAATGTGACTGAACTAAGATCTTTTCTTGGATTCTGTAGTTACTACAGGAAGTTTGTGCCAAATTTTGCTGTATTAGCTAAACCACTCCATGTGCTGACACAGAAAGGCAAAGGATTCTTATGGTCTGAGGAATGTCAGGAAGCGTTTGA